TTTTTATAAAATTAATAATTTTAATAATAAAAAATAAAAATATTTTAAAAAATACACTTATTTGTTTCTAAATATGTCTTTATTAGTAATTTAATGTTAAACAACAACAGCTAATTATTATATAGTCAAACAGTTATATTTATCGAATTCGCTATTAATCATCCGCTATCAACTTTTCGCTATCTGTCATCCATTATTCATTATCCATTATCCGCTATCTATTACCTGCTATTTGCTATCCACTGAATTTTTACTGCTATACTAAACAGGCCCTACATATGGTAGAGTCGACTTCTTCTTTGGGCACAAAGTCTATTTGCCGTGTATGAAGCTCCTCGGCTCTCTCTTGACTTTCTACTGAGACAATAAGCTGCAATATAACCAAGTTACTGTAGAGTTAACTTCTCTAATTCCTTTTCGGGGCAAACCAGGTGCAGCTGGGGACCAGAAGCTGCACCCGCCTCATTTGTTCCACAAAGGTCACTACGTAGTTTAATCTGGAGAGAATTTACGCAAACATTTTATGCTTAAATGTCGGCTAAATTTAACTTTTCATCTACTAATTATTATTCTATTTTCATTTTAGTTTAGAAAGTTTAGTTTCTTTTAAATTCATCTATAAACTTTGAAACTTATTTCAAATTCATCTATCTAGCAAACTTTTGTTAGTTTTTTAACAAAATCCCATGGCATGCTTATGTGGCACAAATAACGTGACATGTAGTTTTGAAAAAATATACTTCTTCTTTTTGTTTTGTTTTTTTTTTATTGGTTTATCATAATAATGTTTTCACTTTTTCACCGAGATTTTTTCTTTATTTTTTATTTTTAAATTTTTAATAAATTTATATGTTTAATTTTGATTAACAACTAAAAAAAATCATATTGTCATTATTAGGATAAAATTATATCATTTTTTTAAGATTAATGCGGATTAATCTTAACTCTTAAACAAAGTTGAAGTTTCAACCGTTGTTTTTGGACCTGGCCCGGCCCGACCGGTTGAACCGGTTGAATCGGACTCGGGCTTAAAAACGGGCCGGATGCATCCATCAACCCGTTTTGCTATTCGACCTGCTTTAACCTAGTTGACCCGCCCAACCCGCTTGGCCTGTTCCACCTAGTTCACTTGTCGGGCTGCACCTCTTTTTTACAATTGACCCATTTTTTTCATTTTAAAGGCAATATACATATTTTATCCTACCTTTTTAATATTATTACATAAAAACCCGTAAATTTCTATTAAAATTAGATAGAAAAAACCCTAATAGAGGGTCAAAACTGAGAAAAAAAAAAAGAAAGCCAGTCGACAGCCAAGAACAAATATTGTGCAAAAAATAGAAAGAAAACCAAAACAGAGTAGATCTCCTTCCTCCACCGACCTCCCTGCCCCCAACCACCATTGTCGACAGCCCTTCACGGCTTACCTTCATTCCTTAACTCCACCGAATAGCAGTAGCTTCAAGCTTTCAACAGCACTTAACAAAGTAGCAGCACAGAACAGACCGATAGCAGTAGAACAGATCTGCATATGCTCTCAGCCACCACCATCAGCGGCCTCTTCCATCCCTTCGCGGCCCAACTTCCTTGTCGGCCACTGAACAACAGCAGCTTCTTCACCGAATAGAGTAGCAGCACCAAACAAAGCTACAGCACCGAACAAAGCAACATCTGCTGCTCACCTTCCTCTCCTTCATCCATCGAACAGAGCAGCAGCACCTTCCTCTCCTTCATCCACTAAACCAAGTAGTAGCAGCAGCACCTTCCTCTCCTTCATCCACTAAACCAAGCAATAGCAGCAGCAAAACAGAGCAGCACTTGTTTCCAGTGGGTAAGAATTTCAGTTTTATCTTGAATTTAATTATCAAATTTACATGTTGATGAATGATTGTTAATTGTTTGTAGGAATTAATTTTTTTATTAATCAAATTTACATGTTTAAAGAGTCTAGATACTACAAAGATTCGAAGGCGAAAGATGTTATTGCTGTTGTCTTAGATAATAAATTTTGGAGTAATTGTCAACTTGTTGTGAAAGTTGTGGCACCACTTATGCGTCTGCTTAGAATTGTTGATGGTGATGAAAGGCCTTCTCTTAGTTATGTCTATGATGGCATCTATAGGGCTAGAAAGGCTATCAAGACTATGTTGATGAATAGAAAGTCTTTATACAAGCCTTATACAAAAATTATCAAGGAAAGATGGGATAGACAACTTTGTCAAAGTATCCATGCTGCTGCCTATTACTTAAATCCTTCTTTCTTTTATGATAAAGAGCATTTTTTTGCCAAGCAAGAAGTGATGAAAGGGTTTATGGATGTTGTGGATGCAAAAATTTCTTCTCGAAAGACAAAATTTTGAAATGAATGTGAGTTATATGAGAAGAGATTGGAGAGCTTTGCTCGTTCAAGTGCACTTGAATCTTCCAAAGATATGAAACCCGGTAAGATTACAAGTTTAAATTTATAATTTTAATACTTTTTTTATGAAAAATATTTTTAATTATAAATTTT